CAGATGACATGGTCTATGTCCTCAAGACTTGGGCAGGTAGGAGAGAGATGTGGGTGCAAGGATGAAGAAAAATGCAGGGAGTAGGGGCCCAAACAGTGTCTGAGAGGGTCTGTGAGGACTTCCTGGATGGTGACGGCTGAAGTGGGTTTAGAAGAGTAAAGAGGAGTTGGTCAGCTGAGGAGATGGAGGAGGGACCTGGTGTCCCAGGCCAAGAAGCCTGAGCAGAGGCAGGTGAGGAGAAAGCGCGTGGGGGCTGGAGGCCCAGGTCGCAGGACAGTGCTGAGATTAGAGAGGCCTGTGTGTGGGCTGTGAGCTGTGCCTTGATCCTAAAGGCCTGTGCCTTGTAAACTCCTTCCAGGGTCACCTGCCAGGCGGCAGGGAGGAGTCACGTGTGCCCATGCGAGCAAGCGTGTGTGTACACGTGTGTTTGTGTGTTGGGGTGGAGGGGGCTTGGGTGTGTGTGGCCTATAAAGGCCTTCCACTAGTACATGAAAATCTTTCCTGTTTTATCATTACATTCATGTGATATGTGTGTTTTAGGAAAAAAGAAATCTTAGAGTACTTGCAGTTAAGGAAATTTGGTCTCCAGCATGATATGTCATATTCCTGCTGGGCCTTTTGAACCCGATGGTCAGTGTCCATGACCCCTAGATGTAGTGTCACCCCCACTTAGCAAATGTGGTGTGGCTCAGGGGAGACATGGAAGATCTTTTAAGCAGGACAGGACACAAGTAGATTTACATCTTAAGTAGATGATTGGCTGGCCGTGTGCTGGAAAGATGTGAGGGGGACGAGTGTGATGAGGAGGTTGTTGGAGAGAGTCCAGGCCAGAGGCAGGGACCGGGACCAGGCAGGGGGAGTGTAGATAGAGAACTGTTTTGGTGGTGAAATGAAAGATTTGGTCTTCAGTTGGGCAGAGTATGAGAGAGACAGGGAGGAGAGTGGATAGACCTAGCTTCTAGATTGGTAGTGAGCAGGTGGTACCACCCTCTGAGCTCAGGAACCAGGAGGAGGGTCATGCTCAGGGGCAGATGGAGAGCTGGGCTTGAGGGCACCAGCCCAGGAAGCAGAGACCTGTAAGGTGTGAGACAGCTGAGGAACCCACTTCAGGGAGGGTGGGTAGTGTGGGGGGCCCAGCAGGGAGGTGTCCCGGGGAGGAAGAAGACATCCCCTGCCTCTGGCAGCTGCTGCTCCTGATGACTCTGCAAGAGTGGTTTCTGGAAGGGGTTGAGGCTAGCCCAGATCACAGTGAGCAGAGGCCCAGGTCGGGGGACGTGACAGTGGGGATGAGGGGGACTTGGAGAGGGCAGGCTCTTTGCTTTGCTGTTTGTCTGCTCCTGGGACACTCTCCCCTCAGCTCATAAACAAGCCCAGCTCACCCGTGTCCCAGGGGTGACCCCCCAAAGGAACAGGTGTCTAGAGGAAAAGCTGTCATGGGCATCAGGGGTGAATGGGCTATGGTGGACCCAGAGGAGGGAGTCCTGCCCTCTGAGGGATGACGTGGAACTGCAAAGAGGCTGAAGTGCAGGGAGGTCACTCAGCAGGGAGGTGGTGGAGCCGGACTGGGCATCCAGGCCTTGGACTTCAGAGCCAGCATGTTTTAATGGCTGCCTCACCCCTTCCTCGTGCGTGGCTTTCCACTGCTCCTCTCTTACGCATCTGGCACATCCTGCCTGCCTGTGAGGTGTGCACAGGGTGAACCTGGATGGTGAGACAAGAGCTAGTGCCTCATGCACAGTTGCGGAGGAAGAGCCAGTCACGTCTGGTCATTCAGCAGGCAGAGGGACTTCAGATTCAAGTACAAGACTGTGTCCTCACTCCCTAGCCATAACTCCACTGCCAGCCCTCTCCTAAGCACCTCGAGGATGAGAGGACCTGGGGACCTTCAGCTAAGTGTCTGTGAGAGGGGTTCCTGTGCTGCAAGAGAGTCTGGTATAGATAATCTGGTTCTGATGAGTAACGATTATGCATAGTGCCTGCTAATGAAATGTATTTGAACTTGTCATCAGCAAGTACAGATGACCTTATGCTTGGGAGGGGGAGAGTGGCTTAGAATTTAGATGTGCACAATAAATGAGAGAATCAACGTTGTTAGCTTCAATGCAGTTATGTTTTGTGCTAGAAGAAAGCGACATTAGCCAACTAATGGCATCCCCTTATGACCTCTGAAGGTTTGGCGATACATCTTTACAAGAAGTCATCAACGTGGAGAGTTTGGTGCGGTTAAATTCCTACTTCGAGCAGTTTAAGGAAGTCTTGCCTGAGGATTGTAAGTATTTCTTCTCTCACGGTGGGTTTCACCTGTTGTGGTCTCTTGTCACTTTTGGTGTTTGAGCCCTTCCTGCCGTTGGGCTGTCTGCTCACCGACCTTCCGGATGCTGCCTCCGTGCACTGATCCTTCCTTGCTTCCCTGCCCCCCACGGCCTACTGCGTAGACTCTGCCTGGCCTGAATCCCCACCCAGAGAAGCTTTCCTCAGGCTGCAGCCCTCGCTCATGTCTTCTGGTTGGGTCTCTTCTCACACACTGTCTTAGTCACTGGCGTTCACTGATGCATTCAGTGGCCTGCATTGTGCTCCTCCTGGCAGGACAGGTGGGATCACAGAGGCAGGACCCCCACTTGGCCTGGGGGTCGGCTTGCCCCGGCTGGTGTGAGCTCCCCATGTGCCTCCCGCCATGGTTAGTAGAGAGTAAGATGCTGGGCAGACACTTATTGCTGGGTATGGGGGCAAGAGTGTTCCTGTCCTGGTGTCCCTGGAGGCAGTGGAGAGGTGACAGCAGCCGTCCCTCCGCTGACACACAGCCCTCCCTATGCCTGATAGTGAAGATGCTGCCACCGCCGAACTAGGCAGGAGCCCAGGGCCCACTGCACTCATTGTGCTTGGGGAATTCTCTCCTGAATTCAACCTGGCACATGTTCACTGAGGCCTCGCCTGTAGAAAGTGCCACAGGACCCCGTGATGAACAAGGTGTCGACCCTGCCTGGGAAGGAAAGCCAGCTTTCAGACTGGCTCTGCCTCTCTGCTGGCACTGCTGCAGCCACCAGCCGGCACACACGGGTGAAGGAGGCAGAGTCCCACCCTCATTCCACCAGCATCCTCTGATGGGGGTTCCCAGGGAGGGCAGGTGTGGAAAGGCTTCGGTTGTGTTCACAGGTCACTGATGTGCTTGGCTCTGTGCTGTGCTGTATACACATTTCTGCACTGAATCCCCACAACAGCGCTATGAGGTAGGTTAGCGTCCATTGTACAGATGGAGAAAGGGGTTGGCCTGGCCCTGAGGCTGTGCGCTTAGACAGTTGGCAAAGCCGTCCTCATGGGAGACACTGGCAGAGACCTTGGGGGCCGGGCTGAGGAGCTGATGTTCATTTAGCAGTTTTATTAGGGAGGCAGTGTGGACAAAGCTGACCTTCAAGGATTTGTCTAGAATCAACAAGAGTGTGCTGCCTGGGTTGAGGAAGGGGTACAAGCCAGTGGTGGACTGAGGGTGAGGCTGTGAAACCTTTGTTTGCTTTGTTCTCCAACTTTGACCTGCTGGTGTCAGTGGGCGGCTCTTTGGATGCTGCCTCTGTGTGCTGATCCTTCCTTGCTTTCCGGCCCCCCATGGCCTCCTGTTCACCTGCGTAGACTCTGCCTTCCTGAGGAGGATTCGGAGGAGATTCAGCTCCCTAGTGGCTACTTGGAGATGATGCTGGGGATGCAAGAGAGACAATGATAGGACGGGTTGAATGAAGGGCCTGTGCTGGGCAAGGATCACTAGAGCTGGCGGCAGCAAGAATGTGGCCCATTGACGGGCAGAGGAGCGGGGCTGGGGAGACAAGGAGCACAGCCCAGGCCCCAGCTGCCTTTGTGACCTGGGGAAATGGTCCGTGAGAGGTGCAGCTCCAGAGCCACAGAGCGAGGCCTAGCGAGGCTGTGATCAGCTGCACAGGGTGACGTGGAACCCTTTCTTGGCTGAGGTTACTGTGTGCCAGACAAGAAGCGGCTGAGGATGACTTTGGGAAAGGCCCCGTGTGGAGGTTGGTTGGGAAGAAAGGATGTGACAGAAGGGCCAGAGAGAGAGTCGTTGGAGAGGCAGGAGGAGAGCAGCAGTGTTTCCTGGAGCCCAGGGCAGGTGTGGACGGGGAGTCCACAGTGGCCCATGAGGGGGCAGTCTCAGGGTGGTGAGGGGCGCAGGGGAGGCAAGTGGGCAACCAGATGGCGCTGCCTTGGGACAGACTGCTCTATCCCGGAGCCTGGCAGAGATTGAGGGGTAGGGCTGTGGGATGGTTGGAAACACACCTGGAGCACTATGGGAGATGTGTGCTCAAGGCCTGAGGGAAGGAGCTAGAAAAACAGGGGCTACAAGATGGAAGAGGATGACATTACTATAAGTCAGGCTCCTGGGAGCCCAGGTGGATGGCAAGCCAGCAAGGAGGGACAGGGGTGGGGAAGGTAGGACATGCAGGGATGTTGGTGTGGATGGGAGGAAATACAGGGAGCTCAAGTCAGGTGGCCTGAGTCTCCCAGTGAACTGAGGGAGGTGAGCACAGAGCTGGGGCCTTGCATGGGGTGCATCCTTGGAATGGATGCCGTTGGAGCCATTGAGGTTCCAGCCCTGACTACACACTGGAGTTCACTGGGGAGCCTGGAAAAGTCCTAATGCCAGGGCCCCACCCCAGACCGTGGTGGGCAGGGCCTGGGCCTGGGGAGTTTCAGAAACTCCCTGGGTGATCCCCATGTGCTGCAGCCGGGGCTGAAAACAATGACATGAAGAGGTAAGGAAAAGGATCCCCTGAGGACTCTGCTGAAGGTCTTTAGTACCTAGCTCTTGGGAACACAGGTACTGAGGCGTCCTCATGTTCTTCAGGGGTGATCATAGTTAAAAGTGACAGATCGGTCAAGCCCTTGCATGTGCCAGGCCCTCTACACACTTTCCATGAATTTTCTAACATGATCCTCACATCTGCATTGGGAGGTGGGCCTGGTTTCACACCCATTTGACATATGAGGACATCGAGACGTGGAGGGCGAGTCCCGCAATGAGCCCATATCAGATGTAGGCAGCTTGCCACCGCTTGTCTTCCAGTGCTGCAGGGGGCGGGGCCTGTGCGGGCTACCCAGGCTTGGACTGGAGGGCCGGTCCCCACCCAGGCACCATGAAAGTGAGTGGGGGGAGAGGGACAGAGGACAGATGAGTGGGAGTGGTGAGCGTTCTGTCAGGAAGGGGGAGTACTGTGCTCAGCATTTTGGAAGGCGGCCAGCCCCAGGAGATGTGAACCTAGCCTGCTGAGGAAGGCCAAGGAAGGGCGTGGCCCACAGCAGCGAAAACAGCGAGGCGTGGGCCTCTCCAGGGTGGGGCCAACAGCACTGGACCACGACCCAGGAAGCTGGGGGAGCAGTGGGCCATTTAGCCTTCAGCCCCAGGAGACTTGCTGATCTTTGAGGCTGAGAAGATGGAGCCCACCTGGTGAATACCCCCTAAGTCTGCTTGGTTCCTCAGTGGGCAGTAATCACTAGACAGGGTGGCGGGGAGGCCAAGAAGCTCTGGTTGATCTTAGGAAGTAGATCAAGCCATCCCTTCCAGGAGGCTGCATTTTCCTGACCTGGCTCAATTCGCCTTCTCTGCGCTCCCACAGCCTCCATCACAGACTGAGCCCTTCACAGGCAAGAGCCTTCTTTCCATTTCCATTTGGCCTGGCACTGAGCATGTATCAGGAGCATGAAATAATTAGCATAGGATCCTGTGTACACCAGGGTGAGGTTGTATGGTGGAAACTGTGTGCAGCTAGACCCCAGAATTCCATATATTTGGTTTTGATTTGGGGGCTCAGGTGCCACGGCTGTTTTCCTTAGACATGACCTTGAGGCTCTTCTCTTTTTCTCTGCTGATCCTGATGTTTGAAAACTCCGGGGTTCTTAGGTGAGGCGATCTGACTGAGCTTCCGGCGAAGGGTCCTGGAAGGGCCTGGAGACTGTCCAGAGACTGTCCCAGTGGTGGAGGGAAGCTGTCAGAGCATAGGAGGAAGTTCTCCACGTCCCCCTGGAGGGGCTGCACTGCCCACGTCCCCCAGGGATGGCCACACCCGTTCCATGGTCAAGACTCACTGCCCTGAGCATCCTCCATCCCTGGTGGTGGTTTTGAAGCCCAGATGGATGCTCCTCACTCCTTCCCACTCTTGGTGATCCAGTGTCCGCTCTCCAGCCCCTTGGAAGAGCTGAAAGGAGAAAGGAGACTAAATGATTGCTCTTTGCAGGTGGAACGGAAGTGGCAGTAATTAAGTACTCACCAGGTCCAGCCCCTAAGCACACCCCTCCCTTGTGTAAATCACACTAAACTTCCAGCTTGGGCTGGGAATTCATTTTGCCCTTCCTCTGCCTCAGTGGCTTCCTTGGGCTGCATTCCCAGGTGTGGCACCGACTCCCACAGACTCCCCCTCTCTTCCAGGCCTCCCTCGATCTCGGAGCCAGACGTGCCTGCCAGAGCTGCTGCGCTTCCTGGGTCAGAACGTACACGCCAGGAAGAACAAGAATGTCGACATTCTCTGGCAGGCTGCTGAGGTACGCGTTGGAGTCAGGACAAGAACGTTGTTGTTGCGCCTGCCGCCAACAATAGTAGTAATAACAAATCAGAGTCTCAGCCAGGGGTGGAGAAAGCAAATGTCTCCATGTGGACACAAGAGAGGGTCACTGAATATGTTCCACACCCCCGGAAGATGCTGAAGGTTGCCTGTGAGTTCGTTACTTTAGGGCTGCCTGAGTTCTGATAACTTGGCCCAGAGTCTATCCTCTGGGGCATTTAATAACCAGGCTGATGGCAGTTGTCACCTTCTTAAGCCTGTGCAGTTGATACCAGCTAAAACTTGCTGCCTACTGCATCTTTTAATAGTACAAAGGGGGGCCGTGGTGACCTTTACAATCTCTTTAAATAGTACTTATCGTGTGTTATGGTTCAGATCTCCTTTTTGCCCCAAGTACTTATACTTCAAATATTTTTGCATAAATTTACTTGTGGAGTTCCAGTCACTGCTCTGAGCCTGGGTCTCAGAACAGTCTCTAGTCATTCACTCACCCCTGATGAGGGGTGAGTTCACCTCGTCTCCGCGGCAGCATTGGGACCTGTCCGGCACTGGGACTTGCACACGTAGACTTAGGACACAGCGGCCCCCAGTGGCCTTCCCTTCCCCCGCAGCCTGCGCACAGGGGAAGGACGGCCCCACGCCCCTCTGCCCCGGGGAAAGGAGTTGGCACTGCACTGCCCGAGTGGGCACTGCCACCGCCCTGGTTCCCAGAGCCTGAGTAGCCGTTAGGGGGCTGTCTCCCCACAGCTCCCCCGAGCTTCATTCCAGAACTTTACTGCTCTCCTTGTCAGGAGAGAGTTTCTCTCAACCCCCATCTCTTCCAGTGCAGCAGACGCTCTCAGCCCGTCACGGTGCTGGCCCGCCATTTAGGTTGTTTATTAGATGTTGTGTTGAGAGCTGTCTTCAGGAAGTGCCTCTTTTGAACAGCCATTCGCTAATGGCTGTGGCCACTGGTATCTTTCTGTCGAGAAGCTTTGAAGAGTGAGCATTCCCCTCTGTATATCAGTCTGTTCTTTTAGCCTTTCAAGTGCCCTGGCTGGTAAGACTTCCTCCTCATGGAAAATGTGGGGGGTCAGTCTGAGGATCTCCCCTCTGTGGGCCAGGCTGCCCCTGGAATCTTTTTACAACAAAACACATTCGGAAGCACTGAGTGACATGAAGCTCAGTGGGAAGCTTGGTGGGGTTCACGCCCCATTTTTCAGGTGTCTTCCTGGTTCTGGGGCCTCATCTGCCATTGCTTGCTCAGGCCGAGCCCAGCAAATGGGGTGTCGGGTGGGACTCGTGCATGCTGGGGTGTCCCTGCATCAGGGCCCTCAGGCCTATGCACTCTGCAGGCACAGGGGCTCCCCTGCTTTCTTTTTTTTTTTTTTTTTTAAAGATTTTATTTTTTCCTTTTTCTCCCCAAAGCCCCCCGGTACATAGTTGTGTATTCTTCGTTGTGGGTTCCTCTAGTTGTGGCATGTGGGACGCTGCCTCAGCGTGGTCTGACGAGCAGTGCCATGTCCGCGCCCAGGATTCGAACCGACGAAACACTGGGCCGCCTGCAGCGGAGCGCGCGAACTTAACCACTCGGCCACGGGGCCAGCCCCTCCCCTGCTTTCTTTTAGTATGTTCTTTTGGGGTATGCTAAGCACCCCTTGGCTGGCTGTGCCCAGTCTCTTACACAGGTACTTTTGCAAGACTTCAAAGAGCAAGCCTTTCCCCACATGACACTGAGAGGCCAAGGGGTGACAGCCAGATCCCTCTGCGTCGCACCCTCTGATGCACTCGCAGAATAAACCTGCAGACGGCTTTACGGACAAGAGCGGATGCAGGGACCTGTGTACCTTGTTTGGGAACTGGGACTCTGTATGACAGAAAAACCATCAGTCATAGTGCTGAGCGACCATCCCCTATAACCAGGTCAAGAAAGCAGTCCGTCCAGCCCCATATTTTTTCTTCGCAGCAGAGGCCCCAAGGTGTAGAAGCATAGACTCAGAGGTAGAAGAGTCTCAGAGTCCCTTGGATGCATCTCTTCTCATATTGTCCACCTGAGGATCCCCTAGGGGGCAGGTGGGTGTGGGGGCAGTGGCACCAAGCCACTCAGGTACCGAGCCCTCCTGTCCCATTGGACCAGAGCTGCCCTCCTTTTGTGGCTCTTACTTATTTTCATTTCCATGTCTGCACAAGGGGACCCTGGCTCAGTAGTTGGAATATCGTTAGTCAGGTCTAACGCCTCATTTCACGGATGGGGATGGGGAGACAGCAGAGCCTGGCGCTGCAGACCACCCTCTTGGGGAAAGATGCACCTCGGCCACCCCTGCCTGCCTTCTGGAACCTCGTGTAGGTCTGGCTGCCCCGTCAATGAATGTAGACTTTCCTTGACTCTGTTTGTAGTCCCAGTGTGTGCCATGTGTCTGGGGCACGAACTCCACAGCCTGTGGCATTTAGTGAGCATGTCCACATTCACCCTCGCTTCGTTAGTTAGGGTTTTACAGATCACCCAGCTTAGGGGCTGCTTAGGGTCTTCTTTTTCTTTCTCTTTTGAAAAATTTTTGGTCTGTTCTCCATAGAAGCCCATCTTCCTCCTGATGGTCTTGGCTGAACTTGTTTGGGCCTTTTCTGTTTTGTCTTTCCCTCGACATGGTGCTGAGGACTGATGTGCTCTCCACCCAGGGGCGTCCCCGTGGTGGCTGCGCCGTCATGTTTGCTGGCCTGAGGAGCGCTGTGACGCTGCCTTCAGGGCAGTCTGCAATGGCTCTGGTATTTTTCTGGAGTACAGGTTTCTGGAGCCCACCACTGTTTAACTTGGATGATGTTTCGTTAAACACCAGTGTCGTTCTCACTGAAGCTCTCGTGGCCAGATGTTTTGGAATTCACAGGTTTCTGGGTTTTAGAAAGGTGATGTGGTATACAGTTGGTACACTTATGTGTAAAATGGTGTGCATCACCTGTGTGTGACGTGGTACACATGTATGACTTAACATCCCCAGGGGACTCTGGGGCGGCACTCTGGAACCAGGCTCAATACTGCTTCACTGAAAAGTCTGAATATTTATACAAAATGGGAAAGAGAAAGATTATAGTCTCACATCAGCTCAGATCTGGTCATACTGCCAAGTGAGATTGCCACAAACTTACCAAAAAAATCTTCTGTTTTAGGACTTTCTGGATTTAGGATGTGTACCTCGGATTGTACCTAGTGGTACAGAGAAAATGCCCCAAAATGTCTTCCCCATGGGGAGAGAAGGTGCCCTGAGGTGGTTCTTCCCCAGCCAGGAGGCTGCCCCATGGTGGAGCCCTGCCCTGTGAGGGGGAGGTGCATGGGCACCTCATTGTGTGCCGAGTCCCCGTGAGGTGGAGGATGGCGAAGGAGCTGCGGGTCAGAATGTGGCTAAAGGGAAGCGGGTCTTCTGAGCTGTTCCCATCTGTAGGGGTGAGGAGGAGAATAGAGACCAGTGGGTCTGTGCTGTACATTCCAGAAAGGCCTAGAGACCTGGCCAGGGGCTGGGCATCCTGTGAGCTGCTCTGCCCTCCCTGAGCTGGTGTTCATTGCCCTCCTCCCCGGAGGGGTCAGTAACAAAGGGCGGAGCATGACAAGGGGGCCCAGGCATAGTTTGGAAGGAAGAGGGTAGCTGGTAAGGGTTAGGGAACGGATCATGATGGCTCAGAACAGAAGGGAGCCTGGACTGTGAAGGAGTGTCCCGTGGGAGAAGGCACGTGAGGGACAGCTAGGGATGAGAGGCAGTCCCGCAGGCAGCGACTTTGTTTCCATTACCGGCTTTAGCAGGCCATGGGGTTGGGGAGCGGCCGGAGAGGGACTGGTGGGCCCGGGTGCCCGCGCTGACCCTTCCGAGCCTCTGTCTTCCGTGAAGGGTCTTCCATGCTGCAGCATCTCTCCTCTCAGCGCAGCCTGTTCTCCCGTTGGCAGATCTGCCGCCGCCTTAACGGGGTCCGGTTCACCAGCTGCAAGAGCGCCAAGGACCGCACGGCCATGTCGGTGACGCTGGAGCAGTGCCTGATCCTGCAACACGAGCACGGCATGGCCCCGCAGGTCTTCACCCAGGCCCTGGAGTGCATGCGCAGGTGAGTTGCTGCCATCCGCCACTGCCCCGTGCCCCTGCCCGCCCGCCCGCCGCCGTGTAAACTGCAGATGAGCTGCTCGCTGCTGCCTCCCGGTCCGGGGCTCCCCCGCACAGGCCCCGGCTCCGGCCGGCATGCTCTAGCTTGACGTCGGAAAATCCACTCCTGGCTACAGAGTCAAACCATTGGCACCCCCAAATTGAGACAGCGTTCTCGGTTAAGTCGAGGAGCAGAAAGAGCCGGCAGTCTCTCTGAGCAGGACTGCGCTGAAACCAGGTAGACCCAGGCCAGTGTGGGTGCTGGGAAGGCTCTCGGGCCCCTCCGCAGCCTGTGAGTCCTGGCACAGGGCGCTCCCGTGGCCACCTGCCTTGCTGTGGGTGTGACTTCGAGCCAGAGCCTTCTGGGCAGGCATTGCTCTTACATCCTCCATAGATCTCTTTTCAAATGTGCGCGAAGAAAACGCGTCTGCAGGTTGCACTGGTTTGCCCGCTTCTTCTCTAGCCCTGGACACAGTTTGCTTTTATGAGCAAAGTGTCACCTGAGTGTTTTATGGTACCGGCAGCAGCCCCGCCCAC